TCCCCTCGTCCAGATCATTGATAAAGATATTGAACAAGACCGGCCCCAGTACTGAGCCCTGGGGAACACCGCTCGTGACCGGCCGCCAACTGGATTTAACTCCATTCACCACCACTCTCTGGGCCCAGCCATCCAGCCAGTTTTTTGATCTGGAATAATTATTTTAATTCTTTTTAAAATATTTTAAATATTAATATTTTAAATTTTATTTTTAAATATTAATATTTTAAAGAAATAAATTTTTAAACGTGACTGACCTGCTTTATTTTTACATGTCCTTCACATGATAAGGGTCAGAGCCTGTGTTCTGCCAATGAAAATGCCTACCAATTTCATGTTACACCTATTCAGAGGTGTCCTAACATAAATGTGCAACTAGTTTCCAGAACTCAACTTCAGAGAACTATGTCACCCAAAAAACTTTTTGTCTAAGAAAATGTATATGTCTTCAAAGAATATGTACACTGCTGAACGAAGAAATTTTATAACATTTTTTCAAGTTTTCAGAAAAGTAAGCTGTGTAAGAGTACATCAGTGATGTATCCAATATTAATTTTAGTCAACTGATCTATCAAGTGTTTTCATTATGCTTCCCTGGGGAATATTAATCACCATAGCAGAACATAAAGCATAGCAGAATTCAAACTGAATTCAATACATTCACAGTCATACAAACTTTTCAGATGAATAAGTGCCAACTCACAAGGTTGAGAGCACACTTCTCAAATCAGTCTAAAACACAGTTCTGAGATTAAAATAGTTCAACTAAAGAAAAAAAGGCTTATGATGAACTATTTAATATATAGTACAATATTGAGAGGTGAATCCAAACTAAGTATGACAAAATTTTGGACATTTTGATCTCTGTTCACTCATATTTTGCCTGAGGGTCCTAAAACTAGGACTGAGAGCACATCTGGATTAGACTTGATTTGAGCTAGAATCCACAACAAAAATCTAAGCTACTGTGTTGCAAATGAGGAGGAGTACACTTGCAAATGATTGAATTTTACTTTTGGCAGTTCCTCTATGCAGGATCAGCAGGTCAATCAATAAAACAAAAGGGCAGTACCTTTAGCACAATTCAAAGGAAATACTACATGACTTAAGTAAGCAAGATTGCTATTGCTAATAGAGGCCCACAATAAACAAGATGATTTCAGCCACTTATTTCTGACCGGTCTTAAGTGCAGGAAGTGAGACCAGAGCCCTTTACCTATTTTGGTATCACCAGTCCTCTCCCATCGCTCCGATTTCTTATATGGGCAGTCTGATGAGACTAATGAGACTGCTGCTTCTATTCACATGTAGAAGCACTTATCCTGAGTAGATCTGTGATGCCCCTACTCACTGTCCTAATTCAGTCCTACTCTCCAGAAGGATTCCTGCCATGACTCTAATGAAGCCCTTCCAATCAAACAGAACCATCTTATTGAGTACGTGAGCCCTTATAGAATAAAATATTTTGTTAATTGGGCTGATGCCTTTCCTGATCCAGTCCTCCACTCCCTGATGTCTTGTGTCCCTGTCTCACATTTTATACCAAGTTTATTTCAGGCAGTAAACTACTTGAGGCAGGAATCATGCTTTCTGCCTGCTTTGTGTTCTAAGCTCATTCCATCTGGACCCAAAGATAAAATTATAATACTGATAATACTCTGCAAAATATTCACAGGATAGTATGGCATAAATCAGCATGACTGAATACTGCAGTAAAAAATAGCAGTCACAGGAGAGGCCTAAAATGAGACATATTGCTGATTTACTATAGAGGATAAATCTTATGCATTAGCTTGATATTTACTCCGTGCAAAAATAGACTATGTTAGTTCAATATTAATTTTTCTTAGCACTTTCCATTTCTTTTTTTCCTTTTTCATGAATATAAAAAGTAGCCCCAAACATATCCCCTATGCACAAATTTGAAACACAAGAAACAAATTTATAATATAATGAGTTGGAGCAGTTAAGCAGCACAGATCTATTCAGAGACCCAGAATAACTTTTGAAATGTCTGCTATAGCAAGGCTGCTGGAAAGGCGCAACACAACAAGAGGAACGTTCTGATTTTAGGAGGAAAGTGTAAATGGAGATTTTCAGCAATCCATTCACCATTTTATGCAGATGTGCTGATCTCAGTCTCACAAAGTGCAGTTACATCATTAGGTGGATGTCCTGAGCAGCATCACCAGGAGTAGCGAAGACTGAATTAAAAACGCAAATGCTAAAAGTCAGCATACATTACAACACTGATGGCCAGCATTAAATTCTTTACTGACTTGTTAATGTCACTGTGTATTTTAGCATGGCCCTTGGCCGAGACTGCATCCTCTCGAATCCCTTTTCAGAGAGGTACTGAAAGAAACAGGAACAAAGAAATCTGCTTTATGCACCAGCTCTGACATAGCAATATTAATAAGAATTGTAATTATGGCACCGTGCCAGTAATCACTAAAATTGCTGCAGCACCAACCTTAGAACCTCATCTTTCCTCATTCAATCATGGTCTATAAGTTTTCATAAAGCTTTCCATTAATAATTTATAATACTGGCACTGGGCAAGAATGTGCAGACACAGCAAATTACAAGTTAAAAAAAATGGAAGTCCCTTTATAAATGCTGATTCTGATACTGAACAGGAGCATTAATGCCATAAATAAATAAATTAAATTATAACTACTAGTCATCTTTGCAGTTACATACATTGGTGGGCAGAGGAAGACTGAGGGAAAAACAAATGTGCTGTATCTGCAGTTATTCTCCTCTGAGAAGGTAAAGTCGCAGCAATCTCAATTTTCAGGTCCATATTCCAAATATTTAATTGTGGGGCAAGTCCCATAATAGTCTCCTTTGACCATCAGTGATTCATCCATTGGTCTGGAC